AGGGGTATTGGAGTCTCTGGGATCCCTTCTAGCTTAGCCGACATCCAAGGTCTTCTGCTCCCTAGACCGCTTTTCTGAGAGGCCGTAAACTGTACCTACAGGTTTTTAGGGTGTAAGGTTCAGAGTTTAGTGTTTAAGGTTTCAGGTTTATCGGGTTTACACCCTAAACCCGTGGGTTTTCCAGCCTTTAAGGTTTCAAACCTTCAGCGCCAGAAACCCATGTTATAGGTTTGGTACTGCCCCCGCTCAGTAACACTTGGATAATATTTATATTATGGAGATATTAGGCTCTTAATAGTAGCTAAACCCTAAACCCTAAACCCTAAACCCTAAACCCTAAACTGTATGCGGGGAGTACCCAAGTTATAGGGTTATGAGACCCCTAACCTGAGAGACCCAGAGAGACCCAGAGGGCTCGAAGCGCCACGTGCTGCTGGCCGAGCTGGCGGACGATGAGGCTGCAGCTTTTTGTGGGGTCTGAAAGGGTTCTGAAAGGGTTCTGAAAGGGTCCTTTAAGGCTTTATGAAGTCTATAGTTTTTTTTTCCGGGTTGAAGGTTTTGGAGTTTAGGGGTTTGGGGCTTTGGATGTATGATGTAGCGTTCAGGGTTCAGAGTACTCGTGACCCGTTCTTGCCTGCAGTGAGTTTGCGAACATGGTTGCCATAGCAGTGGCGTTCTCGAGGAGGAGTGGCTGTATGAATCACGGAGCTCTGTCAGGAGTTGTCCCACGGTGGTGGTAGAGCTTCGTGGAACATCAGCCTTCAAAGGGAAGCTTTCTGGGAAGTGAGAACGATGGCCATCACGGATTCCACAGGTGCGTGAGCCCACCTTCGCGTCGCACATGGTTCCTGGCTGTTTTCCGTGGGAGGGTCGGTGGTGACAGCGACCAAGGCGATGCCACAGCTAGAATACCACCATGGCCTTCAGCTGGTCCTTGTCTCTAACCCTCAAAGCGAGCTCTAAACCCCAACTCTGAAGTTTTAAAGCATTGTAGCCCTACAATCCTAAAGCCTTACCCCCCAAAGGGCGGGGACTACTGCACTAAGTCTTAACTCTGAATTTTCTAGGCCCTGAAACACTACAGCACTGCAACCCTGAACCTTAAGAACTCCCTAACTGTACACCCAATATCAGAGTTGTTTCAGCTCAAAGCCCTGATATAGGGGCCTTAGAATAACCCTATACTATTTTAGGGGGTTCCTTGTTACAAGTCTAGAAAAGTGGGCCCCAATAAACCCTATTCTAAATTCTTAAGGCCCCTACATGAAAGCCCCACATCCCCAGAGACTCCAAGACCCCTTAATTAAGGATTATACCCTAAATTATAGTAGGCTCCCCTAATAAGATTTAAGGTATATTCCTTAATTAAGGGGTATTGGAGGCTCTGGGTCTCCAAACCCTAAACCCGAAACCCTAAACCCTAAACCCTAAACCCTAAACCCCAAACCCTTAAACCGAGGATTTGCGCCACTTCTTAGCCCTGGGTGTCCTCTTCAACAAGGGGAGGCCTGACGGCGTTGGGGTGGATGGTGGGGGTTTAGGGTTCAGGGTTTTTGGCTTTGGGGTTCAGGGCTTAGGGTTTAGGGTTTAGGGTTCAGGGTTTGTGGGTTTGGGGTTTAGGGTTTAGCGTTTGTGGGTTTGTGGGTTTGGGGTTCAGGGTTCAGGGTTCAGGGTTTAGGGTTTAGGGTTTAGGGTTTAGGGTTCAAGGTTTGTGGGTTTGGGGTTTAGGGTTTAGGGTTTGTGGGTTTGTGGGTTTGGGGTTCAGGGTTTTTGGGGTTTGGCTTGGGGTTTGGGCTTTGGGTTTAGGAAAGTGCCGGCATGGAACATGCAGGGAAGATCGAGGAATCTTCGTCAAGTCGCAAAGTCGCGTGTAGGCCCCTGCTTCGACGCAGTAGCTCAGGTTCCGGAGCTTCGTTTTGACAGCTTTTTAACTTAGAGTCTTAGAGTTTGGTTTTTATGGTTCGAAAACGAAGGTAAGTCTCGTAGTTCCAGGGATGTCGCTTTCGCATGAGATTGGCCTTTAGAGAGACTGCGATTCAGAGCAATGCCTGCTTTGGTTTCCGGGGTGATTTCTGGCTTTGTGTCGTCATAATATTGTCTCATGTAACAAGCACGGCTGCTGCATGTGGGTTCTAGAATCCCAGTTGATGTTGGGCTCAGCGGCTTGTGGCGGGGCCTTCTATGCGCATCCTTCAATGGTTCAAGCAAAGGCTTCCCACTTCAAGGACCCGGGGACACAGTAGGGGTTCTGCGTGATCCGTTTCAACGGCTACTTGGAGGATCATGGGACTTAGTAAGTAAGGTTATAAGTCCCCTAATTGGGGTTATAAGTATAGTTACCTTAGTTATAACCCTACTTACTAAGTCCCATGATCCTTTAAGTACCCACATCGTAACCCTCCTGGTCAAGTGTGTAGGCCTCAAGTGCGCATTTTACGAGGACCTGGTCCGCGAGATAGCATAGCAGCGTCCCTGAGTCAGGACATCGCTCTCTGTCGGCCACCGAGTGATCTAATGAGAGCATAGTGCTGCGGGCTTGTGGGTTAGCAGATTTTGGGGTGGTTTTGGGTTTAGGCTTTCACTGTCTTATCTAAGGGCCGCATTTGTGGTTGGGAGGTGTCCTCATGTGTTGTACTGCACCATCTAGTGCTATCTCGTTCACGCATGCTTACAGCTCAACTGCCGCCACTCTTCAGTCCTGAACCCTACACCCCATCATCGTGAATTACTGTCTGAATTGTGTAAAGATGGGTCATACATAGCTACATACACCTTAGTTTCCTGCCTACCTATCTTCCTGCCTACCGACCGACCGACGGTCCGACGGACCGACCGGCCGACCGCCGACCGACCTGCCGACTTACCTGCCTATGTGTACGTACATCCGTGTAGCATGCATGAGCTTCTGTTTGCATATATGCACCTCTCCATACAATATGCATAGATACCCACCTATGTGCGTGCGCATGTGCACATACATACATACATACATACATACGTACATACATACCATACATACATACATACATACATACATACATACATACATACATACATACATACACACATACATACATACATACATACATACATACATACATGCATACATACGTACATACGCCCCCGCCACACACACATGAACATCAAGAACTGTCACTCACGACTGTGATAATCATGTGGTTCATGTACCGCGCGCCCCTCTGCACGGCTTGCAGCAAACTTGCACTCAAAGCTCCGAACTCCGGGTAACGGGTAGAACAGCCGCTAAGCCAGGGTGAGGGTTTGTCCGTTTCAGGGTCTGGCTACTTTGCTTGAGTTCGTGCTGTAGGCGTTTTACATTGGTAGAGCAAAGGCATCGAAAAAAGACGGGAAACTAGTTCTTGCCAGACTTTTCTGGCCCACTTCCCGGTCACCAACCGCCCATGTCGATGAGCATCGGGGTGTCGCTCTTGAGCGGCCGGCAGGCAAGGTGGATTTTGGAAAGAGGTAGGGTGCGTCATCACCTACATAAGCTCTGGAAAGTATGCAGAAGCTTCCAAAGATTGTTGTCTCTGGAAAATAAATCCCCAAATCCTCCTCTATAGGTAAATTTAACAAGATGCCTGATTGCAGGGTAGGGTTTTGAGCCCTACACCCGAGACCTTAAACTCTGACAGAAGGACTCCAGGACGGTCATGACAGTTCAAAAGGCCCTAGAAGCCTGAATAATTACCCATACTATTTTGGGGGTTCCTTATTATAACTATAGTATATTGGACCCCAGCAGCCTATTCTAATTATGAAGACACCTACATTACACTCGAAACTCTGAACCTCAGATCTCCGTTTTGACTGTTCATGCTCGGACACCAGACCCAAGTCCAGGAGATGTACAACTAATATAGGGGGCCTTAATAATTAGAATCGGGTTTTAAATATGGGACTTTCGACAAATAGGGGGTACCTTATTTGGGGGTCCTTATAATACGGATCCTATTATCTAGGGTACTATATTAGGGTCCCCTATTTTCGGAAACCCCCATATAGTGAAAGTATAGTATACCCCCCAAACCCTGTTCTATTATTAAGGCCCCTACATTACTGCCACTGCTCCTGCTCCTGCTGCTGCTACTGCTACTACTGGGACTACGACGATGACTATGACTATGACACTGACTATGACTACGACTACTACGACTACGATTCCGACTATGATTTCGACCACGATGACGACTACTATGCCTGCTACGCATATTCACATTACCAGTACTTCGACTGCTTCTGCTCCTTCTACTGCTCGCGCAACTCGTGCTAGCACGGTCAGTGGTGCTGCTCGACTCTAAACGTCTGAAACTTCAGCCGCCGGCACGAAACTGCAGCTCTAGCCCTCGGCTCTACATGTCGAAATCCGTCAGCGGGTCGCAAAATTTCCCCAAACTTCGAAGCAACCAACACTCTACATCAACCTCGGAACCTAACCTGCAGACCCCAGACTGAAGGCCCAAAGCCCAGGCCTCGAAGCTGAAACCCTAAACTCTGGACCGCAAGCCCTGAACCTTAACCCCAAGTCCCAAATCCTTTAAAAACCTATTGTAGAAGCCTAAATAATTCCCATTATTATTCCTTAGGGTTCCTTTTTAAAACTATAGTATTCAGGAGCCCGAAACCCTATTCTAGTTACTAAGGCCCCGTTTGTACACCTCTAAGCCCCGAAACCCTAAACCCTAAACCCTGAACCCTAACCCTAAACCCGTTAAAAACCTACACCTCTAAGCCCCGACCTCGAAGCCGAACCTTCCCGAGGCCCTTCTTCCTGTAGATCCTTCAGCGACCATGCAAAGCCTCCGGCACCGCGCGCAGCGGGAGCTCGGCGTGGGTGGGAGACCTAGACACTATAGGGTTTAGGGTTTAGGGTTTAGGGTTAGTATAGGGGCGAAAGGAAATTACCATACTCCTGAGGCTTCTCTAATTCTACCACAATGTAGCCCCAAAACTGATGTTACGAGTTGTGGGTTGGAGACTTGTTTTGCAGAAGTCTCGGATGGCTCGACAAGTGCCTGTCCTGACAAGGGAGCCAGAAAGCGCTAGAGCTGTTTCTGACATATCCGTAGATAGTAGATGAAGCGTGAGCCATGAGTGCTTTGGGAGTGTCGGGTACGCCGCTCCCCTTCTCGCTTAATCGCTGCATGTTGCCGATCTGCGGAGTTGACGTTTCTGAGTAGACGCATGCTATGTGTGTCAGCTACACGGACGACCGTGAAGTCTGTAGCTCTGAAATCACGAAAGCCTTTAGAGCCTTAGCCCAGACAGGAGTCCAGGAGAACAAGCTAAACCCAGACGTCCTGGACTCTAAACCCCTACACCTCTTAAGCCCTTGCACCTAAACCCCCAAATCGGTAGAAGCCATCTGCTGGACGAGGCCTGTGCCAGCTCGTCTCCTCGTCGGGCAAGCTCCTCCCAGAGCTGTCGACCATTGGCGAGGCGAACTTGAGAAAGCTGTTGTTGCTTTTTCAGGTTTGTTTGTGAACGTGTCATCGGGCGGGTGCAGACGGACAGGGTGCTTTTCGGCATCATCAACCCGCTGGGTTCGTAGAACCAGAGCACCGTTTTAAGGTTCAGCTAAAGCCTAGATGCAAGGCCTAAGCATGCGAGGCCTGATGATTTAGGGGGGATCCGAAACAGTAACATGCACTGCACAACGCAATCACCTCAAGTCAAAACCTCCTTAAAGCAAACGAGGGTTACCACAGGGATTTCGACAACCGTTGCCATAAGCATTGCTATAAGGGCAACCAAAAGGGTTACCATAAGGCTGCGTATGCCTCCTAGGTAGTATCAGGGAGACCCCTTAAAGAGGACCCTTTTTAAGCCTACCTCCTCCTCTCTTAAGAAGGGAACCTTATTGAGAGGGCCTACGTCCCCCAAGGGTCCCTCTACTCCTAACTCCCAATGTCCCAAGTCAAGGACATTTTCAGGTGGGTAGTTACCGTTATAGGAGCCTTATAGAAGAAGGTCTATATACCTTAAAGGGAGCCTTATAGAAGGCCTATGATACCCTAAACTCCCCACCTGTAGTTTCCTTAAACCCTAAACCCCTAAACCCTAGACCCTAGACCCTAAACCCTAAACCCTAAACTGCTAAACCCTAAACTCCCCACCTGTAGTTTCCTTTAACCCAAGTGGAGGTGGGCTAGACCCCTAAACCCTATATACCCCCTAAACCCTATATACCCTAAACCCTATATACCCTAACCCCTATATACCCTATAAACCAAGTGGAGGCTGGCTTGAAGCATGGCGACGTGCTGACCGCGGCAGTGAGGCAGCCGGAGAGCCTTGGTGGCAAGCCGGACTTTGCAGGGTCTCATTAGGGACTTTAGGTTTAGGGAGCTTAGGGTTTAGGGTTTTAGGGTTTTAGGGTTTTAGGGTTTAGGGTTTAGGGTTTAGGGTTCATTAGGGACCCAAAGAAGGACTTTAGGTTCAGGGAGCTTCGGGTTTAGGAGTTTAGGGTTTAGGGTTTAGGTTTAGTGAGCTTAGGGTTTAGGGTTTAGGGTTTAGGTTTAGGGTTTTAGGGTTTTAGGGTTTTAGGGTTTAGGGTTTAGGGTTCATTAGGGACCCCAAAAAGACGTAGACATAAGCATTTTATAGGGATATATCCCTACCTTCTTTATAAGGGGCTTTATATGGGACATCCCTGTCCTAATTTTTGCTTCTGTGCTTTTTTAGGGCCCTAGTTTAGGGTTTAGGGCAGTTGATCTGTAGTCTCCATTGTAGTTGCTTCTTGGGCTTACCTTGTAGCATCCTAAGCATAAGATGGGTTAAAACCAAAAAAAGAACTACAATGGAGACTCACAGCGGAGACTGGAATAAAATGGGTTAAAACCCCAAAAAAGAACTACAATGGAGACTCTAGGTAGGCTTGTGTTCGCGCAGAAGAAGTGCCGAAGCCCTAAACCCGGAAGCCCTTAGGCCTAAACTCTAAAGCCTGAAACTTTTCAGATTCTGAAACCCTACCGGAGGCGCCCTAATAGTTAGAATAGAGTTTTGGGGCCCATTATACTCTAATTATAATAAGGAGCCCCCAAAATAGGATTGGTAATCATTCAGGCCCCTGCACTAAGACGATGGCCCCTCCGGATGGTGGATCGGAGCCCCTCCTGGCTTCAGGTTCGCCACTGCAAGATTTTGGCGTTTGTGGTTTAGGGTGTAGGGTCCCTGTAGGGTTTAGGGTTTAGGGTAGGGTTTGTAGGGTTTGGAAATGAAATGCTGGGGGTAACAACAACAAAACATCACAGCAACAGCAAAATAACTCGAAGTCTTTCGTGGCATCCTCGTTCGCGTGTGTTGTCTGCTAGCCAAAGAGCTATGAAACAAACGCATTGTTGATGTTGGTATTGTAATTGCTGGTATTGTTGTCTTGCTCACGTTTTCCTCTGATTGTGTTGCCAGAGCTGTTGAGGCTGCTAAGGAAATCGTTTGTTAGCTGGCTAAATTTCAGATCCAGGATGCATTTTTTTTGCTTTCAGCGCATGCCGTACATTTGCTCGCGCACACGCACACATACTCAGACATCTGCCCGTCAACATATAATAGTCAAGTCACAAATACAGCAACAGCCAATCATCAATTTCAGGATTCAGGAGCCCGCCCAAGTCTCAGCTTTATATCATCGAAGCTCTAAACATCAAGCCGACATCAAGCCGGTGAGGGGTAAACTTGTAATCGGCAAACTTGTGAACATCAAACCTTTCAACATCGGTTGCAACGGTTGCAGCATGAGTTTTCAATATCAAGTTATCGGCTTCACGCACTACATTAACATCAGACTAGTTCAGTACCATTTTTTTCAGCATCAAAGTCTTAACCCGGAGTGCTTCAGCCGCAAGTTTTCAAGATGAAGATCTTGAGCATCATTTCTTCGCGTTCCATCAACCCCACAGGAAAAGTGTCTATATAAGTTTGACTTTCCATTGTCAAGCCTGTAAACATCAGCTTCTTAGCTTCTTCAACATGTTAGGATGCTTCAGGCTTAAGGCACCGACCCACATCCGTGAAGTTCTCTGCGCCCTAGCTCACATCAACCTGAGCCGACAAGGATCGCAGCCACGCTGTCTGCCTTCGCACTGCTGCGTGCGGACGGGACTGCGGTAACCTGGGGCGAGATGACCCAAGGCCGAAGATATCAAGGAGTGAAGTTCTTGGTTGCGAAGCGACGCGTCGATCCCTCCTCCCTCAACCCTAGACCGGGAGCGCTTCAGCCTTAAGCCCACAACCCGAACCTAGATCTGAAAACCGAAATTTTCAATATTCGATCCCAAACACTGACAGCCCTCGGGATGTCATTGGGACAGTCTCCGGCCAGGTGGCGACAGCAGCGGCGTTCAGGATCAACTCGAAGATGTTCTGGAAATACAGGCCTTTTTTAAGGTTTAGGGTTTAGTATACAGGGTTTCAGGGTTTGTAGGGTTTAGGGTTTAGGGTTTTAGGGTCAGGTTTAGGCGATCGATTCATTGTTCCAGGTCTTCGCCGGCAGATTTGCTGAGTCGTCAGTCAGGGCCAGCCCGGTATGGTGAAGACAGCAAGTTCGATTTCTTGAGCAGCAATTTGAGTAAAGATTCTTGCCTGAAGATCCTACCTACCAACAAGCCGAGTACAAGAGACTGCCAGACCCCAGCCTACCTAAAAATGAACCCTCATTCCCAAGACCCTTGAATACGCTGACCGGGTTACTGTAACATGAGAAAACACTCAAACATAACAACGAGGCTGCGGACTACGCGTTTGCAGCCCGACGTGCAGATGGCCGTGTGGTAACTTGGGGCGACTTGGATACACGAAAGGAAGAGAAGCACGGAATTTGTCACAAGCTAGGTCAGATGTTGCACGTCGAGAGCCGATAGATGTGTGCCTATCTTGGAAGACCTGCATAAAGAGCCCGTCATTGGGGACTAGTATAGTGACTAGTATGAGTAGCTCATATCGAGTCGAGGCAGCCAGCACGACGGTGGCGACAGCAGCGACGTGCAGGAGCATCTTATTGCCGTTGAGCAGATTCAGGCCAGGCATTGTGATGTTTCAAGGGTGTTTTTCGGGGAGTCCATGTACCCAATAGTATATACTTTATGGCCCCAAAGTACCTATGTAGGGACTACGGACTACGTACTTTGAGGCCAAAGTATATAGCTATGTTGAGGGTGGACAAGACGGCCTGCTGCGACTGTCAGAGTGCTCCCAGGTTTCAGGCTAGCCGTCCGGGCAACTCCGTGTCCCCAGGCCTTGGATTCCTCTTGGCAACAGAGATCGCTGGCATGCGCACTCCCGTCATCCTCTCTGAGAATTCCCACGTTATAGATCTTGCAAGCCCAGTAGATCTGTTGATTATTCATTTCTACTGCAGTCACCATCCCTATCTCACTAGCAAGTTTGACAGAGCCAAAACAAGAACGAAGAAAGCCCTGCGGTCAGCCTCAAAGCCGCAAGTCACTCGCCAACCCCAGCCCTAAACCCTAAACCCTAAACCCTAAGCCCTAAGCCCTAAACCCTCACTTTATAGGCGGCAGAGCGAGCTTTTGCTGCTCGACTGGCAGACGGTCTCTTGGATGGGTACTATATAGGGGCCTGAACGATTACCAATACTATCTTAGGGGGTTCCTTATTATCATTATACATCCCATAATAGTATGGGGGCCTGAATAATTACCTATACTATTTTTGGGGGGTTCCTTCTTATCAGTATAGCATGATTTACCACAAAATGTATTCTAATTTTTAAGGCCCCTATTCTGGGGGTTCATCATTATCATTATAGCATAATATACCCCCAAACCCTATCCTAATCATTAAAGCATCTACATTACAGGGCGCTGGGGGGGCTTCAGGGGAGGAGTCCTAAAGCGGTGACCGTCCCCACTGTAGTTCGGACAACCCAATGATCTGAAGACAAGTTCGATTAGGGTTTTGTTTTGCTCCTCAGAAAATTAAAACCAGGGGGGTTGGAGTATGCTAAGTACTGACCAAGCACATGTCTGAATCCGAAGCCCTGGCCCTAAACCCTGCGAGTCTAAACCCTAAACCCTAAATCCTAAACCCTAAACTTCCCAAATCCTGAACCCTAAACCCTAAAACCCCGAATCCCCAAACTAACGACCCTCAGGTCAGAGTTCCCGAGACCCTTAACTTGATGACTTCCATCCCAGATCCAAGGGGGTTTCGGAGGTCCCAAGCTCATGCGAGGCCCTAATTATATAGGGGCCTCACTAGTTACCTACACCATTTTTTGGGGGGGTTCTTATTACAAGCACAGTATAATATACTCCAGAACCCTGTTCTACTTATTCAGGCCCCCAGAAGAAGCTCTATTCTCTACTCCTTCTATGGCGGGTTTCTGAAAGACCCTAATAACATTACGGACGAGGTCCAACTATCGCGCGTGAGAGCATCCCTAGGGGGTTTCGGGTCTGAGGTCGCTAGCTCTGCTGCGGTCTAGGGCTTGGTGAAAGGGGGGTTGAAGTTTAGGGGCAGTGCTTGCTTAACCGCTGCAGCTTGCATTCTTTTCTTGGCAGTTGGGGCCCTTCGCGGAACTGACGGAAACTGCGTATTTTTCCCCCCACACAGGAGCCCTCAGCCTCAGAATCCCAATCCGCATCAAGGGATTCAACCTGGAATGTTAAGCCGTCTGAGGTTGTGTGGTAACCTGGGGCGACAAGTATGCTGGGGGCGACAGCAGCGCCGTTCGAAATGAACTGCACCAGGCACGTTTTGTCAGGTTTGGCGGCGGGGGCATTGCGCAGTGGCCGGCTCAAGGTTCAAGGTTTCCATATCCCGCCGACAGTAGTAGTCGTCGTCGTCATAGTAGTAGCAGTGTAGCACTAGAAGTAGCACTAGCAGCAGTAGCAGCAGCAGAAGTAGTACTAGCAGTAGCAGTAGCATTAGCACCAGCACCAGCAGCAGCATCAGGAGTACCAGCAGAAGCATTGGCATGAATGTGTAGCAGGGTGAAGTTCAAGGTTTAGGCCGTAGGATTGTAGGGTTCAGGGTTTACATTTTAGGACTTTGGGTTGAGGGACTTTAGGGTTTGAGGTTGTAAGACTTTCGACTTTAGGGTTGGATCCTGAGAAGAACGGTGCCCGTAAGTAATATACGCCGTGGAAGCATCTATAAGCTGTAAACCCCAGCCCCTGAACCTCAGATACTGCACCCGAAGTGTTGGACCCTAAACCGTCAGCAGCCTGCACACGCCGAACAACTCGAAGCCGTTCCTTGAGACCCTAAACCCTAAACCCTAAACCCCAAGTAGTAGAATCCTTGCGGAACAGGCCCCTTGAAAGGTCTCCCCAAGCTTGTGAACCTACCTTTTTTGAAGCCCTTAAGAGTCCCTACTGTTACTGTCTAATGTAAGAACCTGATTAAGAAACCCTGGCCATATGGCCCCAAAATAGTAGGATTCATACAAAAGACCCCTAATAAAGACCCAGGGTTTCTTAACCCTAAACCCTAAACCCTAAACCCTAAACCCTAAACCCTAAACCCTAAACCCTTAATCAGGTTCCTACATTATCATCTCGGCTTTGAGGTGCGGGAGATCCAGGCTTCCCGGCTGGCCTTTGCGGCGCTGCGGGAAGATGGATCTGCCCTTTCACCCGGATTTGGGTTTAGGGTTTTAGGGTTTAGGGTTTAGGGTTTAGGGTTTAGGGTTTAGGGGTTTGGGGTGAGGTTTAGGGTCTCGTAGGCGTGACGTGGCCTTTCAGGGACCCAGCGGAGTCCTGCTTTAGATCATACACCTAGATGCGATTCAAAACCCTGGCAGGGTCGGAACGTTTAGTCAAAGGAAGTCTTAGGGTCTCCAATTATCGTTCCAATATATCCCGAAAACCCTATTCCAATTTTTGAGGCCCCACGCATTGCTGGTTAGATTCAGAGCTCTGAATTGTGCGTCTCGTCCGTCCAATCCCCGGAAGGACGGTTCTTGTGATGCTGCGTGCCCATTGAGACGGGACCCTGGGCCAGAATCCGGAAAATCTAGAAGCGGACCTGAGATAAGACAGAGTATAATGCGTATCGTCTATTTTGAACGGCTTGTCTGTTTATTGAAGACCCCCCACCATGTACTAGCCCCTCAGGTCGTGTCGTGGGGACATCCGGACTATGCTGGAGATAGCGGTCCGGTGCGGGAGAAGCTGAAGGAAGTGAAGCAGATACAGGCTGCGGGGTTCTGCCGACATCGATTTGGGGTTGGGATGAATTAAGGAACACGACTATGACTCATACACTAAAAAGCATCAAAACTCTAAGCGCGATACCCTGGACCCTACTAGTTCGTACTTCGAGTGAGGCCCGAATTATTTGAAGACTCATTCCCTTCCCCCGAAACTCTGAATTGAGCTTTGACCTGAAGGTGGTGGTTTCCGAGGTGAGGCTTCTGGGATGAAGATTAGCTACTTATTGCATCCTTAGATATCATGTGTATGTATACATATATATTTATATATATATATATATATACATATATATATATATTCATACACACACACACACATATATATATATATATATTCACACACACACACATATATATATATATATAAATACACAGTGAAATCATGGTCTGGAGCATTTGAAAGACAGGTTTTTAGGGT